GAAATGACCATAACAAAAAATTTCAATAATTACTATTTTTAAAAGAACAGAAAAGACAAAATCTCCACAAAATTTGATCAGTATTTTTTGATGTGCTGAATCAAGAAACAAGAAAAATTTTAAATGACAAATAGTAAGAAACATGAGCAGTCTTTATTTAGGATCATTTCCATGGAAATATTAAATGTTTTGTATGATTTCATCAAGGGATAATAATTCTGATCTTACCAGTTTATAAGCTTATCCATGGCCAATCCATATATGTTTATGGCATGTGGGGAAAATGCAGTCAGTCCACATGGGCTTCCCATGTTGCACCCATGTTACTGAATTCACATGGGTGCCTTGTATTTTTTCCTAGTTCTACTCCATACACAGTTAGCCCACTGTTATGATTATGTATATTATTTCACAGTCTGCCCCTGCCTGCTCTTGTTTTCTGTCCCTCCTGTCATTATCTCATGCAATCAGCTCATTCACATCACCTGCGTTCTCCACTACTTAAGCCAGCCTCTCACTTCTGCTCATTGCCAGATTCTCATCAGCCTTGCCTGTGATTATCCAGCGTTCTGTCCCCATGCCTCGTTCTTGTCCTGTGTCCTCGACCTCGTTCATGTCCACCGGTTTTTTGACTCCTGTCTCTGGTCGTCTTGGTTTTGTCCTGCCATCTGCTTTCACTGTAATGACCCTTGTTCTGGTTTTTTGGCTCACGTCTCTGGTTTCTCCCCTGAACGGCACTTCACTCCTTCGGACTTCCTGGAAAACGACCCACGCCTGTCCCACGGAAACAAGAACCTTGCCTCCTCCCTCAAACTCAGATTTGCACTTCGGATTCTTGTGTATGAACCTTGCCTGCCCAACGACCCGTTCTCAGTCTCTCGGATCCCACCCGAAAACTCAAATAGTGACGTCACCGCCTCTCTCCGGAACCAAAGCAACTCTGTCAGTGTTTCTTCACGGACTCATTCAGCAAAGAACAGGTTAGTGGCTTTGGTTAATGTTTATTTCATTTATCAGTCTTGTCCCGCCACTAATCCTGTCTCTCTATGTCCAGAACTGACTGACCCGGATCTGCTGCTAAACCAAAGAAACGTCAAGTTTGTGTTTAACTATAATAAATGGTTAAAACTTCCTTTGTGGTCCGGCCTTTTATCAGAGCTCAATTCTAACTACCTAACACCCACATTGTAATGGACTGGGGCCTACTAGTCCATTCCTGGTCCAAATCATGTATGAAGAGCCCATGTTTTTGTAATGTGGGGAAAACGCAGTCAGCCCACATAGGCTTCCCATGATGGTCCAATTCAGTTGCATTCACATGGGTCCCATATTATGTTGCCCATTTCTATCCAATTCTCAATAATCCACACAGAAATGGACTACGACCGACATAACCATACCCAGTTCCAGCTCATGAACTGACAAACCGTGCTTGTGCCACATGGGTTAAATGCAGTCAGCCCATATGGGCTTCACATGCTGGGCCCATTCTACTAAATTCACAAGGGTCCCATGCTTTGTTAACCAGTTCTATCCCATTCCCAGTTAGCCCACATAAAAACAGACCAGGGTCCATATAACCATGCCCAGCTCCAGCCCATGAATGGGTTGCCCATGTTTGTGCCACGTGTTAAATGCAGTCAGCCCACATGGGCTTCCCATATTGGCCCAATTAAAGTAAATCAACATGGTTCCCATATTATGTTACCCAGTTCTATCCCATTGCCAATTAGCCCACATAGAAATGGACCAGGGCCCATGTAAGCATGCCCAGCTCCAGCCCATGTATGGGTTGCCCATGTTTGTCCCACATGGATTAAATGTAGTCAGCCCACATGGGCTACCCATGTTGGCCCCATTAAAGTAAATCCACATGGGTCCCATATTGTGTTGCCCAGTTCTATCCCATTGCCAGTTAGCCCACATTAATGCTAAATAGGCCCCATACATTTAGCCCAAGTGGGCTTACCATATTGGCCCCATATTAATGTAACCATATGGGTCTCATACAATTAGCCCAGATAAAACCCATGCCGACCCAGTACCCATGTAGCCCACTTTAAACCCATGTGGGGCCCACCCATGCATGCTGGCTGGGAACTAGAGACTGAAGGAAAGTCCAACTCATGTCAACAAAATGTAAGCAGGCCTTTCTGCTGAGAGTTGAACAACATTTTTATAAGTCAAACTGAAACAGAGGCAGACATGAAGATTTGCACAGGATTTATTTACAGACACAAATGTTGTTTGCAGCACAACTATAAAGACCAGATTTGTCCACTTTAAAATGTCCACATTAAATGAAACAGTGAGACAAAACAATGAAACTCAGCAAATATGGAAAGCTGTGTTGTTATATAATCAACATAAGGTTGCTGATTGAATCCTGGCTCTGAACCTTGTGTGTCGTCTTCATATCATTAGAAAGAACACAGCTGCAGACTGAAGCTTCTAAAGTTCAATTATTAATGTTTGTTTTATTCATTTGTATCAAATTATGAATTTATCTTAACTTTGAAAATTATTAAACTAAACCCAAATATTTAGAAAAAAATACTACAGTTATTCTACTAAAATACTAATAAATGTTAAGGTCTACTATATATAAATAAAGCCAACAGAGGAATAAAAACACCTTTACATTTCAGATTAATAAAGTTAAAGTTTTATCATGTAAACTTGTGTAAAGTTGTCATTAAAGTTGTCATCATTGATGAAAAGCTGACATATAGACCTCATTTAAATTACATAAGAACAAAAATAGCAAAATCCATTGCAGTTTTGTATTTCAGGACATTTCACTAAGAAACAGTTTTATTAAAAACAAAACAGAAAAGACTATTTGCTTGTACCTCAACTTCCAGTGATTACACAGGTTAAATCGTTCTTCTTTAATTAAACACTACTTCTTAAACCGAATAACTGCCATGGAAACACAGGGACTAGTGCTGAGAAGCAAGTTACTCCGAGCTCTTATTTTGAAAGTCAACCAGTAGCCGTTACCGGAAGTCTTCTAGTACCATTGCTGCTAACTTTGTAGCTACGAGCTAACGGTGTGTCCCATGGCCTGCCTGCTGCTCAGAAGAGTTTAATTCAGAGTTGTATTGAGCTGTAACAGCTCGGTAAATGTTGATGATGTGGAGACAGCAGGTAAAAACAGAGGAAGAAGAGAAGTCGGAGGATTTTATCAGAGCTAAAGATGAGGAAGATGAAAACATAATGAAGATCTGCATCGATTCTGTTAGTCTGAACGATGAGCTGCAGACATCAGGTTTGTGTGTTTTCATCCTTTCTGTTGAATGTGATGATGTTAAAGTTTAGCAGCAGGTTATTGATCAACGTGTAACTGCGGTCACACATTTGCGCTTCATGGCTCCTGAAAAAAAATTGCGTGTTTAAATCTTATTACGGTTCATCTACAGACGAGAGTTTTAACTTCACGGTGCATTCAATTACAGCTCGTAAATGCCTCCATTAACACTGAAATGTCTGTCATTCAACAACAGAGGCTGAGTTATCAACAAATTTCACTGCAGACGTGTTCTAAAGCTCATAAAGAATATGTGTGTTCATGGCTTTACTCTGGCATTTTGATACAATTTTAAGTTGTAGAGCAGCGGTGCCCAAACATTTTCACTGAGAGGGCCAAAATTAAAAACAATCTGAGGGCCGTGGGCCAAATGCAATAATATGAGAAATGCTTAATACTTAAGTAAAGTTGTTTTATTTTTTATGATTAAGCTAGGAGCCAGTGTGGTTGCCCACATTCTTTAGTTTTTTGTTTTTCAGCCCATGGACATGGAGAAATTTCAACAATGTATCCACAGGCAGCAAAAGCTCAGGTGACTTTTCATAATTTAAAATTTGAGTATATGTGGTCTTATAAGGTGTGCAAATCTGTTTATGGGCTTAAATCTAATCTAAATGTGTCGTGTAGTTACTTGTATTTTATATTTAATCTTAACATAATTACAATCTAATAACCAGGACAACTGCTGGTTGGCCAAACCAAATGGCTCGGCGGGCCAGTTTTGGCCCGCGGGCCCCACTTTGGGCACCTCTGTTGTAGAGGTCTTCACTGTGTCTAATACAGGGTACACTTTGGAAAATCCTTTAAAAAACATAAAGACACATCTTTATCAACAAGTTTTACTGGAGTCAGGGCTGGCCCTTGAAATTTGGGGGTTCCACTTCACCATAATTACACCATAAAAGATACACTAAACAAAATGCTGTTTGTAATTATTTAGCTGGTGCATAAAATTTGACCAGTTTGAACATAGTTTACCATTGTTTACTGCTGTAACTAGGGATTCACCGATCCGATACCAGTATCTGTATCATTCCCGATATTTAACAAACTTCTAGATCAGGTATCGGTGACAATGGACCCGATCCATAGGGGCAGATCTATACAGTTTATTTCTATGATTTTTTTTGCCACTTCAGTAAAAAAGCAGAACTGAATATTAATTTCTTAATTTCTTCATCATCAGTGACTTTTTTAAGAAGAAAAAGAAAGAGAAGAAAAAAGTGAAATGTAATGGGAAAGAGTGAAAGAGAGATCGAAGATTGTGAAATATATATCGAGAAGACACAAGACAACACACTCGTCATCTTGGCTGCACGCCTACAGAAACAGAGATAAGAAAAACACAGCAACAAAAAAATATGCATATGTATATAATAATAATGATTGTAACCATGCTGAAAGGTTTACACAGCGGGTAAAATAAGTATTGAACACGTCACCATTTTTCTCAGTAAATATATTACTAGAGGTGCTAATGACATGAAATTTTCACCAGAT